CCTATACCGAGAATGCACTGAGTACCCTTCGTGGCTTGCCCATAGTCTTTAACAACCTACTATATTTAAGCTTTGAATTCTGCGCAAATGACATATCTAGCTGTAATTGCTACCGCATCGGTTTCAACGTGACTTGCCAGCTCGATCATTCGTTTACCACAACGGCATCATTATGTAAAAGGTCTTCCGTTTTCAGTTTGTTCCCCTATCAGGGCACATCGTTGTTGGAGACCCCAACAGGGGGTGGGTCGTATTTGGTAGCTGGGAGAGGGAGGAGTTGTTATGCTCAAAAAATCTTTTAATAGTTGATTTTTCTTGTTTGAGGAGCCTTGGAAAGAGGGGGGGGTCGGTTTTGCTCGTTGTTCTGAGGGGAGTCGTATTTCCCTAGAGGTTGTTGGAGGTTCAAACAGTAGAGTTTTTGGGTAAAAGTTGGAAAATTTTGAGGAAGTTCCGGAAAAAGTGGTAAGAAGTTGGGAAAATTGAAGAAAAGGTACAGAGCGAGGCCGTATTTTCCTCGCGGTTTTATCCGTTTCACATGTGCTACCCTACCCCCGCTCGACTGCTCGATCGTATCAGAGGAAGGGCCAGGGGGAGAGGGGGTACCAACCCCCTAAAAAAGAGAGGGGGTCGTACAGACTTGACCGAAACCCCAACGGTGTGCCCTGCCCCTATACATTGCCCTTCGTGTCCTTTATCTTGCCAGTACCACGCTTTTCCTTCCTCACTAAACACTGCCCTCCTCCACGGTCCGAAATCAACGTGTTTATGTAACGAGGCAGCTCAGCGCTTTGGCAGTGTTAGTTAGTGATCCGGTCGCAGTGGATTTGAACACTCCCCTTACTGCAAGCAGAAAAGGACCGGTTCGCGCTCGTAGTGAGTCAAAATCCCCTGCACTTCGTGACTGAACCTCTTCTCACCTCGCCAATCGGTGTCTGCTTCAATAAGTCATCAACGTTTTCAGGAAACACTTCTCAAAGCCAGCCGTTCCTCCAAGAAAAGCGGAAACAGGCACACAAAATGGCGGCTACAAAGGAGCGCAGTCTTATCCAGAAGCTCCGATCGTAAGATCTCCTGCACATTTCCTACATCTCTCGTCGAAGGTTTGCATTTGCAGGTACCCTCCGGCGGTGTTTCTCATGCTTGGCAATGAGTTTTGCGAGCGATTCTCATTCTATGGCATGAAGGCGATTCTCACCCTTTATTTTATCTACGAACATGGCTACACTGAAAGGTAGGCGACCTGTTGATGCCATACTCCTTTTTTCCTGAATTTCCATCTCAACGACATTGTTCGTGTCACAGAACAAGTTCCCATTTCAAATGATAAATTGACTTTATTCTTTTAAGTAAAAGAAAAAACGCCAATAAAATTCCATTTGTGAATTTTGAACTGATTTCTTTTTTTCCTTCTCTTATTTCTCATCAGCTGTACACCGTAACCGTTACGGTCATCTTCTCTGGTATAGTGGGACTTCTTGCTGAAATGTTGATCAGTTTCGGAACTTGCGCAAGATCTACCGTAGTCAGGCGTGTCTAGATGTCCAGTCAGCTGATTCATGTCAGGATACGCGCACGTCTTTATTTGATAAGGACTCGAGTTTGTTTGCTGTTCAACGGGAAAACTGCCATGGCTACGATGTAATGTAAAAACACGCAGATCTGGTGCAGGCCATCTGCAAACGTGGCACTTTTCCACAGCAAAATTAGTTCCATGCAAAGAAGCCTCCTGAGCAGCAAAAGTGCGTAACCATTAGGGCAGATAACTGAGAGCTCTTTGTCATTATCCAGATGTCTCTATAGTACGCCATCCATCAGTGACGGGAGCTGGAAGTCCTCACTTATTCTGAACCACTCCCTTAGCTGAACAACAGTGCGTTCTTAGCTTGCGATGTGCTCGGAGCGAGTCGGTCGCGTGATTAGAGCGATCAAATCGCGAACTGTGAATGCATCCTGAGGAACGCGCATGCTTTGCGGACATTGAACATATTGACAAGAGACTGACTCAGCTGATTCTTTCTTATTCTTAAGGACAGTCCTCGTGCTAGAGCGATTGGTAAATGTACTAGTAGTCTGGCTTATACTAGTAGTCTGGTCCTCAGTCTCTAGGATTATCCCGATTTTGCGTCTCCACAGTGAGTTAAAAAGGCGCTGTGCCTCAAATTGGCAATTCTGACGCCTCACTAGTTGTCTTGCCCACCAAAACTCCAAAACTCAAAGGCAAAACCTGTCACGAGTACAGTTTTGGCACCGTTTTTTTTTCTACTAGTAGATAGTATTAGCGTTGGATGACGCGAGAAAACGGTCAGAGTCAGAGGCCGCAGCATATCCCTCTGCTGGCCAGGTGAACAGGTTCGGGGAACCCGTTCAGAGAGGTTGCCAGGTCCTTACTCAGAGCGATAGTTCTCCACGACTTCTTTTG